AGAGCTAATGTCGGGTCAGTTCACAAAAGCTGCCGATATATTCAGTTTAGGCATAACTATACTGGAAATAGCGTGTGATTTAGATCTGCCGTCCGGTGGAGAGGGTTGGCATCAACTCCGAGACGGCAACATTCCCGACAACCTTCTCAACGGTATTTCATAGAATTGATTTGGTTTGATGTTCGCTTAGATCTGATTTGATGTGTTATTTTATGTCTGATTTAGGCATGAGTTCGGAATTGAGTGAAATAATAAAAGCTATGATGAGTCCTGACTATAGCCTCAGGCCATCGGTGAACCAATTGTTAAGTCATCCATTCATTCGGCGAATTGAATGCTCGCGTCGATGGAAGTTAAAGAGCAAACGAAGCCTGAAGTTAGCGAAAACATTACTTAATTGGTTTTTGCAGTTTTTTATCAACACTTTTCTCTTCATATGTTATCCATTCAAATATTTATACCAAACTATCGCTAAAAGGCCGGCAACTGAAACGCCCTTAAAGTCTCCAAACAATTCAAATTATTTATATGACAACGATTTCGACAACTATTCGGACGACGACTTATTCGACGCCTCCTCCGTCTCTCTTCTAAACAATTCCGACAAATCGTCCCAAAGTGAAGACAAACAGTCGACCGCCTCTTCAGTCGACAACTCTTTTGATATCCAAAAGTATTTCTCATTTTAATAATAACAGAATTAAATATTTTGTAAATTACTTAACAATAAACTAAACTTCAGTGGCATTCAAGACGAGCTGTTGACAATATGTGGCTGTGGCTGGTCACAAACGGGTGAGCAAGCGCAGCGGGTCGTTTACGCCCAGTTCGCCGATTCAGCGCTTCTACAGCTCCACTCTCGCCGACAGTCCAACCCTTTTGAGAGAGCCGGTCGTCCGCTCCAAACCTGTCATTAGTCAGAAACTCAATTTTGACGACCAATCAGATGATGAGAATCCAGATTTGGATCAATCGCATCAAATCGGACCGAAAAACCTATTGAGTGTAAGTGTGAATCGATTTTGAAATGAATGTCTATTTACTGATCAATGTTTACACGTTTAGACATTTGATGAGATCTCGAACGACTGCGATAATGAATTCAGTGATTCATAAGTGCCTCAAATGAGACCACAAATTATTGGTCGACGTTTTTTATAAGAATTTTTTTGAAATTTTTTATAATTCTTTGACAAATGTTTTATGAATCCGTGTTTTGCGCACAATGCATTGCATTCATCACCACATTGTCACAGTTGTGACACAAGACTCTGATTCATAATCATGTTTTATAGACAGTTTGTACAGCTATTATTATATTGTTTTCATTGTGCCATTGATTGTCAATTGGCAAAAGATATTAATGTCATAAAATTAAATAAAGTTAAAAGTTAGTTACCAATTTAAATTACAGTTATGTAAATAGTTTGTTTATTCAATAATTTTGTTTAAAAAATATTAATGTTTTTGTTATTGTTTGCTAATCATTTGATATAACAGTAATTTGGTTCATTGGGTTTTGTTTTATAAGTTAACGATTTTTTGATTGATTTATTGGTAAACTAAATCAATACGTGAGATATTTGTGAGAAAATAGGTACAGGCATTGCATAGATAACCTTGCACATTCACTAATACGGTACAGGTATGACTCATACTCAAATTCTGACAGCTATTTGTCTACTATTTATTCAAACTTAAAATATTACTGTAAACTTGACAATAGGATGTAGGTGCAATACTGTATGCGACCCCCACTATACCAACACTGCCCTTAACTATCCCTCGCACAGCCTCTGCAGTTCAACCCGTTTTGCATAACTGTAGTCGTATTCAAATCTCATTGAAATATCCATACATTTCCATATCTTTCTGTTTATTTCTTCACTAATGAATTACGTGAACGGATAACATATAAAACATATACACTTTTACTCAACAATCCAAATATGGGTTCAATTTTTATTTCAAATGATTACGTTTTTTATGACTTTTCATGAGCCAAACTTTATTTGGAAAAATTGAGTTTTGTGTACAAAAATGCAAATACTGTCCTCTCATTGGTTCAATTGTTTTTGGTTACTAAGCGACACATTGTATTCAATACATAAAATATGCTAACATATAACAACGTTACTACACATGAAACCCCAACTGATGTAAATTTGAACATGGTCATCTAGTTATAAACAGTTTTCGTCCATTAATTTTAAATTAAATATAATTAAATGAATGTATGATTGAGAGGGATGTATAGAAAATGTGATAATTTGCACGAATGATAGGCTGTATATGTTTGAGAGTGTGAGCGCCCACTGCTGTCACGCGTCACTTGATATGTGTTTGTGAAAAGGTTTGCCAACTGATGGGTCTATGCGTTGATGACTGACTGTCTGTTTGAGTGCCACTCACTTCACACTGACTCCACTCTTCGTCAAACACAGTGTCTGCAAGACTCGGGATTTGCAAAACTGGTCATTAGTGAAGGGATTCATATGAAAATGAGTGCACTTTTGGTGAGTCGTGTCAATACATGATAGTTGAGTGAACAGTGAGTCCATTATTATCCACACATTTGATGCAACACTTGCTCTAATTGAGTGCAAAGATGTCGAAACTATCGGTTGGGATCAATGTTGACATTCAGAGGACTAATGGTATGTTGTGACTGTCCATTGCTGTCACTGCTGATGACTAACATATTGGCCACTATTTGATGCAATGATAGGTCGCATCCACTCCGCGGTCATCAGTCATATCGATTGGAAGAGTCGGAGTGTGACAGTCGAGTGGTCGGAATCGGATGAGATAAAGGGCAAAGAGGTTACCATTGATTATCTTGCGNTAACATATTGGCCACCATTTGGTGCAATGATAGGTCGCATCCACTCCGCGGTCATCAGTCATATTGATTGGAAGAGTCGGAGTGTGACAGTCGAGTGGTCGGAATCGGATGAGATAAAGGGCAAAGAGGTTACCATTGATTATCTTGCGGTCATTGACATTGTGTCACCACTTGTTGTCATGATTTCAGATGGATTTTGAGTCCATTTATGTATTGAATCCAAACTTAATGACGAGGACATGAAACTGGACACCCGTTCCCTTCGCTGCCACTCGAGTGGCTCGAGTGGTGGCATTCGCTTCACTTCTCACTTGAGCCGTAACAGCCGTTCCGTTCCGATGACATCGAAGACGATTACGAACTCATTTCTGACACTCAAATACAAGACTTCTCCAAAGGGTCACAGAATAGACGACACAAAAACTAATAGTCATTTCATTTTGCATTTCATTTGAGTTTATTTTTGTTAGTTTTTCGCAAACTATTGTCAATTCGGAGCACAACTAAGTTTATTATTTGCCCAAAACTAACAGTATTTCTATAGTCAAGTCAATCATGTGTTGGTCTCTTCCTCGACAATGCTTTCGACAAATCTATACTTAATTTTATACTTAATTATGTTTAGAGTGAAAATAATATATTTAATGTTTTATTAAAATATATCGAAATGTTGTCAAATTTAAATGATTTAATTTTGTATTAAATATAATTATATTGTTTTTAAAATATTTTATATAAAAAATTAATTAATTTTTAAACAAATAAATTCAATATTTTAACATGTTAAACTATGAATTAATTAATGTGTTGTACTGTATGTATGCTCTCTTATCTCTCTCTCATTTTTGTTTCACTTCTCGCTGGCAATTGTGTATATATTTTGTATTCAGTTATCATGTTTTAATTTGTAATAAAACACACAAACATCAGAGTACATTGATAAAATGATTTTATATTCAAATAAATATTTATAATTATATACGACACAATTGTAATATTATAAATAAATACCTATCACTAAAAACACACCATTATATCCATATAAGTTTGAATAAATACTATTTGCACTAAATCATTTATTTCGTCATTTTGATTATATTTATTAATTGCAAACCAATTAACGCCAGTATCTGTCAAATAGATCGTAATTTACAACAAATTATACAAACTTTTGTGACAACAAAAAAATATACAAAAATAAAGAGACAATCTCGTATACTGAGAGATCAAGCTCATATCTCTCATTTATATACTGAGAGACAAATAATTTTTTTAAAAACTCATACAAACCTCATATCCACGGAATCTATTGATTATGAATAGTTTCCAACAGTAAAAGCCAACCCTTTTCGTGGCCAACCTTTCCGTGAATGACACCAACTATAAGGGCAGTCAATAAAAATAAATTACATTTTTACATGCCTTACATACTGTACCATACCTTGAATTTTAATTTAAATGGTATTCTCTTATTACACGTGATGTATGAATTAAATAGTTTATACGTTAGTACTGTTTGCTCGTGTAATAGCGTCGAGTAATGTATGATTGATAGTAGGGTTAACCCTGCTTCAAAGTTTATGGCAACCATTACCAACCTTATAAATACAGCAATATTGCCAACGAATAGCATGTATAAGTATACGGCCATTAAAAATGCCATTAATAGCCAATTAATAGCCAATATTATAGACCAATAAATATCGTTATATGTATTGATCTCCAGAAATATGTCGTTCAATGTATACATAAACCTATTGACTGTTATGTTTGATCTATATTTTTTGCTAGATACAATATCTCGTATGAGACAATTAACCGATTTAACCTTGTGAGCTAGGTAATTGGCAATCATGATAAAATAAACTAGCTGCCACATTATGATCTCATTCACGTAAATGCTAACAAATGTCCAAATTATTGTATGGGGAATGGCGTATATAATAATTTCATAGTAACTGGCCCTGTGCGATAATAAATAAAACATTAGCATAAATATTACATATCTCATAATAGACATAGTGATCTCGATCAGTTTAATACAATTTCGGTTAAATCTCAGCAATCGATAAACGAGTTGTTTGTCGTGAATACCGACACTAATGGGTGTTATTAAACCCGAAAGCATCGCAAATACCCGCAAATCCTGGGGTTTTATACCATTCCTATAGTTATACCAATTGAGGAGTTGCGATGAAATGACAATAATACTCGCGGTAATTAATAAAAATGAGCCATGCACTCTTAAGCCGGTTAAATATGAAATATCGCCAACCATTACATAGAAATTGAGATCCCTTTCCGGTATTATAAGTAACACCGTTTGTCGTATAATTAAAAACAATACGATTGATACAAATACGACAAACGGATGATTAATATGAGGTCTGTTTCGGGCGTTCAATGGCTTATACAGCGATAGACCGATAGCGTAGAGATGGGTACCGGCGCTGGGAATGGCCAGTGATTCCGGTATTACTTGGTTTACATTGATATAGTTTATTTCAGGATTAACACTCATATTTAGTTAGTTTGATAACATATTTTTGAACAAATATTTTACGCGTTATTTTGAATAATATAAGTTTATATTAATTTACGTTAAAAGTTATTAATAATTGTACTAAAAAAGTAATTAATTTATTTTGCCATTAATTAACAACTTATGAAGGTTATAATTTGAAGTAAGAAACTACATAATATGAGCAAAGTAATGTTAATTTGTAATGTACTTACAAAGCATTTGTGAACCATTAATACTACAATGAACATTACAGAAATGTTATTAGCATTAAGTATCATTAATATTATTATTTAGTTAATATATTTATAAAATATTAATGTTTTTTGTTCAATGTTAATGTTCTCATTTTAAATATTATTCACAAAATTATTTTAATTACTGTACTAACTAGAGTAACAAAAAAGGGGCTAATTTTTTCCCGAGACTAATATAATTAGCGATAAAAAGTTTAGTTTTCAGTTTTCATTAACAAATAGCTGACCATTAGTTTCTAATTTAGTGCTGAATGCCAGCAAAACACTATAATTTTTGTGAATCAAATTCAAGTCTTTAATACAATCGTAATGTTGATAAAAGTTGTTGAATTTTTACGATATATACGGAATCCTTTAAATCCAATTTACCATAGAAATTATATTTTCAATACCCAATACACAATGCTTTCATGTGAATCTCGCGCAATATCATTAATATTTGTCAAGGTTAGTGTAAACTAGGTCTTTAGTTTACCATTTACCTTTGCTACAATTTGTACTATTATCTTATTAATTGACATTATTTTAGCTCTCAAATAGTGAACAATCATCATAAAGTAACCTTGCTGCCCCATTATGTCTCATTCACGTAAATGTTGATTAGTGTTATTATTAGCGCATGGAAAATCGCGTATACAATAATCTCATAGTAATTTACCCTATATGATAATAAACAGATAGTAAGCATGAATATCACATATTTCATGATAGACAAGATAATCCCGGTTAGTTTAATACAGTTTCTGTTAAATCTGATCAACTGATAGACGAGTTGTTTGTTGTGAATACCGACACTAATGGGTGTTATTAAACCCGAAAGCATCGCAAATACCCGCAAATTCCGGGGTTTTATACCATCCCTATAGTTATACCAATTGAATAGTTGCGAGGAAATGGCGATAATACCCGTATTAATTACAAACAATAAGCAAGGCACTCTTAAGTATCGCCAACCATTACATAGAAATTGAGATCCCTTTCCGGTATTATAAGTAACACCGTTTGTCGTGTTATGAAAAACAATATGATTGACACAAATACGATAATCAGATGATTAATATGAGGTCTGTTTCGGGCGTTCAATGGCTTATACAGTGATAGACCGATAGCGTAGAGATGGGTACCGGCGCTGGGAATGGCCAGTGATCCGGGTATTACCAGATTTAGTTTGACTGTATTACTAATATTATTAATTTTCATATTTGCCTAAAATGATGAATAAATTTTCAAAAAAGATTTTGCTTTAAAAATGTTGACCACTAAACACACTATAGGTATTAGATTTAAAAGTACACAAATGTATAAATAGTGCATAAATTTTATATTATTTGAAAACATATCAAAATAACGTTTAATAAAGTTATTTAATTGTTCATGTTAATTGCTGTTATTGTAAAGACATTTCGTAAATCACCTCAATTATAATATTTTTAAAACTTAACGTCAACCGACAATTTTATTTGTTATTTTACATTAATGTAATAATGTAATCAAAAACATTAATTAATGAAATATATTTACATAAAACAAATAGGACATTATTATGTAATTACCATTATACAATCTTACTCTTATCATATTATAAAATATTATACTATAGTTAAAAACAAATCCACTAAATTTTGATTGCTTATCTCGAGACATTTATAATATAAAGTAATTGACTGGCAATTAACGCTAGTATCTGTAATAAAAAAATTCAATAATTACAAATTAATAGCATAATATATATTTTTAGTAAAACTAAACAAATGCTACATATATATTGTTATTTAAATACCTAGCTCATATTAATACATACATACCTCATATCCACGGAATCTATTGATTAGGAATAGTTTCCAACAGTAAAAGCCAACACTTTTTGTGCCCAACCTTTCCGTCAATGACATCAACTATAAGGGCAGTCAATAAAAAATATTTTAAATTACAGTTTAGTGCCTAATATTATAATACCTTTATTTTGAGTCCTTCCGGTAAACGTCTATTTCGTGTGAATTCCGCATTCAATAACTTATATGTAATTATCGATTGGTTATTAAGTTGGGCCGATATGTGTATTATAAACAACAAGGTCGATCCAATTTCAAGCGCTAATACCATGATTAATAGCTTGACAAATAAAATTGTTTGCACATACAATATTACAAAAATATACAAGGCCACAACAAACACTATAATTAGCCAATAAATGCCCAAATATTTAGACCAATAAATAGCGTTATATGCGTTGACCTCCGATAATACGGCATTTATTTTGGTTATAATTACTGTATAATTGGTGTGTAGTTTGCCATTGTTGCTTGTTGCAATTGTTACCAATACCTCGTTAATTGCTTTTATCTTGGTAGTCAAATAGTGGGCGATCATGGTAAAATATGCCAGCTGCCATATCATGATCTGGTTCACATAATTAGCCGCAATCGCAAACATGATTGCGTGGGGAATAGCGTACAATATAATCTGGTGGACAGGCGCTCGTAGCGAGTAGATCATGAACGCCATGATTAATAGGATATACTTCATAGCCATCACCAAAATCTCTGTGAATTTAATACACTTTCGGTGAAATCGGATCAACCGATAGACGAGTGGTTTGTCGTGAATACCGACACTAATGGGTGTTATTAGACCCGAAAGCATCGCAAA